GCTTACAGCAAAAGAGAAACCAACTTGCCTGGTTAAAGCACAGCAGTGATTTTACCTCACCATGTGTTGTTTCTAGCAGTCAGATGTCTGCTGGAAAAACACGGTCATCTGTGAGGGCACAGGGAGTTGATCAAATAATAAAGGCTTTGTCTCATAAAAAACTGATCTATTTCTAGGAGCAATAAAAAGCAATACTCCTTTCACAGGTTAATTTGGCATATTTTTTTTTCCATTACTTGGAACATGGGCTTCCTATTTAAAGCATTTTGCTTAATAATAGAAATAAAACATTGCACTGACTGTTTTAATTTTGCCTTTAATACAGTACTTCATGCAGTAATTAACTTGCAAAAAGTCAGCTGAAGGCAGATCTGACATTCTTCTGATATCAAAATTTAATGCTTTATAGATCTCTTTCCTCTGGTCACTTACAGAATGACAGAAAGGTTTGTGTCCTGGAGAAAAAGAAAAAAAAAAAAAAAGAAAAAAAAAAGGTAACTTAGACATCATCACCACCTCAGGTAGCCTCAGATTGTACATTTCAAATTTGCAGTATAGTCAAAACTATAGTCCAAGAAAGGAAAAAATAAGATCAGTTCAGGGTATAGTGATAATGGTGGGATGATTTTCTGTGAATGAATAATGGAAGGAGGGACATCCATTCTGCCCTGCAATTTTAAAGCTTTTTTAATCAATCAGGTCAGAGGTGTTTAAAATGTCATTTACCAAAATTATCCAATACCTTTTTAACTTTAGTAACACCTGCCAATGTAACTCTGTTTAGCCTCTTATCAATTAGATCAGCCATAAATGAGGCTATACTATCTCCTAAGTGAAAGTACCTGCTGAAATAAATTATAGCAATGTGTAGAACCATGAACACAGCTGACCACAGTCCTTCACACTTAAAGGCACAAATGGCAAAGACAATGCACAGGATCTCTCACTTTTCCTGCTTCAAGGCCTGAGCTGAAGTAATCCTGTGCTCAGCTATGGTGATGGTGCTTCAAGTAAAGGAGGCTTATGCAGACAGGCTGGCTGCCTCCGTAGCTCTCTGTCTCCCCAGAGACTACAGGTTTTAGCCAAATTTACAGGGGAGTGGAAGTCTCAGATATAATGGTTTACCTACAAGTGTCATAGAAATAGTCTGGGTGAAGGAGAAGTAACAAGTAAATGCTCTGACTGTGGGAAGAAGAACCAAGCAAGTGAATGTGAGCTTTTTAGCTTTACTTGAGACTCCCATCTGGACAGGACACCTAGCAGATGCTTCGGTCCAATGAAAAGTCTTCAGTTGGACCTTGTAATCAAGAACAAAATACAAAGATAAAAAAGTTTTCCTGGTACAGAATTAAGAAGAACTAATTACTTTTTCAGGGCATTGAAATGAGAATAGAAATTAACCAGGAAGCAGAGAGGGTTAGTCTCTACCATATGCTCTTCCATGCTCCCAAACATTTCTCCTTACTTAACGTTATTGCAGGTGGTGGCTGTAGCAATGGATTGTGAAAGCTTCCAATTGCAGCATCCTTTTATGCACTAGATCAAAATCTGCTTCTGTACTTTATTTGAGAGGTAACAATTTTTCAAAATACTCTTTTCCTCCACTTCAAAATTGGTCTCAGGTTCTAGACTTGTCAAGGTTTTTCCAGCTACACTTGAAGTTCGAAGGACAAGTTGTTTTGAAATGTTTTGAAATATTTTTAGATTACTGTGAGCATGTTAATTTTTTTCTTAGTTCTCCACTTTTCAGAACCCAAGCACTCAGAAACCATCAGCCATCCAGATACCACAGGTGTATTGGAAAGGAATCCTTATCAGCAGAGACCTCAACTGAGTACATTGATAGGATATCTAATCTATTATTTAAATTTACTTTTAATAAAAATATTTTCATTCATATAGCACTATATTGAAACAGGGATACTGTCACGTCTACGATTTGGTGTCGTATCTCTTCCAGGTCATATGTCTCAAAACATAGTCAAATTAAAAAAAAATAAAAATAATTTTTGCAATTAGTCTTGCACTTTGTACCAATAACAAGGGCTAAAGGGGACACTTAGGTATTCCCTCCGATTATGAAACTTAGCCCAGAACAGATCTGATGCTGACTTTTACCTCAGTACAAGACACAAGCCAGACAGAGAGAACAGGACAGGGAATTCCAGTTTCAGCAAACATTAATAAACCTCAGCTCAAACCACGATGAACAACACTGAAATCATTTCAGTCCTGCAATCTAATGATCAGGAAGAAAAAAGAGAACAGCTGCTTGCAAACTCTGCAATGGGTCAGAAGCATGGTCAGTTAGAGAGGCCACCCCAGGAGTCCTGCAGGCCCTGCAAGTGAGACGGGGCCATTATGGAGACACGGTGCTGTGTTGGACCAAGCTGGTTTTTGGCTGTAACAGAAAGTATAAGCAGCACACTCACCACAATTTTTCATGTAAATTAAATTCTACCCTTGCAGTAACCCTTGCTGATTTCACGATGTATAGTTATAAATAATGGGCAACGTGTCTTTTTATTTCCAGCTCATATATTGCCAAAAGAAATGAGCAGGGAAACTTCATTTATGGTCAGGATCACAGTGACTGTTCCAGTCAGATGTTTTTCCTTATATCTCTTTTTTATTTATTTTTTTTCTTTTTTTTGTTCCCCTGAAAGTGACTAATAATAATGGATGGTTGTGCTCATCCCTGTTATTAGTTGAGGCAAAGTCAGAGCAGTTTCAGCCTAGATTAATATGGATCATAAAAAGCCTTTGCAAAATAAGTGTTGTTCACTGAAGTAATATACAATTTTTTTTCTTTCCTACATAGTTTTCCCATGTTACTTGGCAACTGCTTGCTAAGTGCTAGTAGTAAAACGTCTGCTTTAAAAAGGACACTGGCTGAGCAGGGAAGCACCATAACACCAAGTGTTAGGAGCTTCAGTTTGTTGTTTTATAAAACGTAAAATGTAACATTTGTTTGGGTCTCCCAAGGACTGTTTCTGATTCCTTGCAGCCATAATGCATTAACATGAGGAGTTATAGATAGGTAACCACCTTTTGCAGGAATTTATGTACAGAAAATTGCCTGTCCTTTGCAGCTGTGTAACTACATCCCCGCTAAGCAAACTCACAGCACTCCTGTACCAGACCTAGAGCCTCCATATCAGCCTGGAGGATTCTGTGACACCATGTCTGGGGCTCCATGGGCTGGTGAGAGAATCAGGGTCCACATCTAGTACCTTGAGTCACAAGAAACTAAAGAGAAGCAGAGGAAGGCTGTACAAGGGGACTGATCTTTCATACAGGCTTTTTAAAATTTCTTTTCCTTTCTTTCCTTTTCTTTCCTTTTCTTTCCTTTTCTTTCCTTTTCTTTTCTTTTCTTTCCCTTTCTTTCCTTTTCTTTCCTTTTCTTTCCTTTTCTTTTCTTTTATTTTATTTTATTTTTTTTATTTTATTTTAATTTTTTTTCTTTTCTTTTTTCTTTTCTTCTTTTCTTTCCTTTTCTTTCCTTTTCTTTCCTTTTCTTTTTTCAGTGCAAGGCACTGTCTCCTGTGCTCTCTGCCACTCTATGAGTCCAGGCGTCTGGCACAGGTACCTGACAGATCATGTCTGAGATGGACCATTCATGACCATTCCAGAATGTGGGGTCTTGGATTCAGAGAGAAAATATGCAGAAACTCTATGAAAAGTATGAGGGGGAGAGGGGGGTAGGAGCCAAATAAATGAGTCACACACTCAATATGAGACACCTCACAGAGCCTACTCAATCTCCTGCCAGTGCTGCAGATCCACAAAATGAGTTTGTGCTGTATCTCCTGAGAAGTTTTGCCACTTCAGTGCAGAGAAGCCTATTTTCAAATTTGTGAACAATTAAAGCCAGGAAGATGAGATGGCCTATCTTCCTTTTCCTTATTCGTGATATTGCAGATCTAGAGATGATTCACAAATACTTCATATATAGCCACAGGGAAGTATTCAAGGTTTTATTAAAAATCCACTTGCATGTTCTCTCTTTAGATGCCATTTTAGAGTTACTGCAGGAACTCACTATAGCCCACAAAATGAATCTGGTGCTCTAAAGAGATTTCCTGCTTTTATTTTGGCTATATGAGAGACATACAGTGCCTCAAGAAATAAGTAATGCCTGACTGCATTCAAAATCACCTTTTAAAGTCTATCAGCAAGGTTTATTTGCATGAAGAACTGCATTTTAAAGGTTAGGTTACCTACCTGCTATCATAGAAGAGCTATCATACCACTTTAAAAGAGACTCCTTGAGGCCAGGACAAATTAGTTTTTCAAATGTTCTTACTATTTAAGGGTAAATTCACTGAACCAATAGCTTTCTGTTAATTTGTTAAATTTTCTCAAGAGCTGTCTTTGGAATAGAAAATGAAAATAAATTATCCTTTGCTGTTTACCAATGCCTTTCCTGCATGTAAATGCACTCCAAAGACTCAAAGACTGCTTAACAATGTCCCTAAATTTCTAGATTTCAATGGCCCATCCATCTGAAAATAAGAGTACGCTTCAGAAATGCTCATATATTTTTCATAACAGATATGAAACATCCCTGTGGATCATTCATACCTTGGTTCAAGCTCTTTTAGTGTTTTAGAAATCATCCGGGACATAAATTGCATGTTCTGTAAGTTATACACAAACCTAATGGCACTAGCACACAGCAAGGAGACCTTTAAGGTAAATCAATTTAATTAACAGAGACATTTAAGTTGTATCTGCTGGTCTTTTTCCCATCCTCAGTCTTATGAAATCCTTGAGACAGCAAAGACATTTGAGTCCCTCTGTAAGTGACAGTTTCACACTCACCAAACTGAGGTGGCTCACATTTTGGTTATTAAAGAGGCATTTGATTTAAGAAAGGGCAAGAAGTCGAGATTAAATGAATAAATACAAGTAGTAAAAAGCTTTCATCCTGAAGGCTACTCATCCCTAACGAGAACCTCAACGATAGTCAGTCTGACTCCTTGTTCAATAGTACTTACCAGCTGGTGGCAATTCTGAGGACAGAATGGGGAAAGATGGCACTGGTGGACAGGTGGTACTCTAAGGCTCTTTGAACATTGTCTCTCCATATCTATAAAACTGAAAATAAGGAGCAACAGAATAGATTTGAGTGATAGAGAGGAAGAAAACACAGTTCTGAATGTCCAAGGTTGGAAAACGAGGAACCGCTTGCCCAGGTTGGGAGTGAGTACAAGCCTGTATCCATTCCCATGTGGCAGGAAAGGAGCTATTCAGCAGGGGAACAACAAAAAAAAAGGTTAAGATAGTGGCGACTGAGCAGCCTGGTGAACAGTGTCCTGGTGGAACAGAAGAGCTGAGCTTAGGGCTCAGCTTCAAACTGCTTGGAAAACAGAGTTGAAAACAGATTGCAACTCTCAGGTGACATTTCTGCTCATTATCTGATACACACCAACAGCTTTAAAAGCAAAGCCTGCCACTGACACCCCTGTCACACCTACCTTTGGTTCTCTTCATCCCCCAAGACACTGCAGGATTTGATCCTGGAGTTCCCCAGGCAGGACAGCAGTGACGTTCTGCTTCAGGGCCTGCCAATAGCATTAGAGCCTTGACAGAACAGGGCATCTGTGCTATGTTTCACACCAAAGCCCAGACACAATCCATGGGCCTAGTGTTCTCCTAAGGGTCTTGGTACACTAGATGTTGTCAAAGTGGTTTGGCTTAGACTTTATTCAAAATACAGTGTCAGCTACCACTTTCATCTATAACACGACTAGGGGAAGAGGAGATACTCCTCCCTCTAGGTACTTGCAGATTGATATTTAAGTCCACATCTTGCCTCTCTGCCTTCTTCTGGAGGGTCAGAGTTTGTGCACTTGGGACTGCAGCCTACATCTCTCAGCTCACTGAAGTACCTTAACTGCCAGACTGGACTTAAACTGACAGAGAACAAAATCTGGGTGAAGACAGAGGAATCACAGAAAGGACAATGGCTCTCTAACCCTTTTTACTGTGTGTTGTCTAATGGCTATAATGTATATAACCAAATCTCAAACTGGAGACTGGAAATCCTGCTTCGCCCATGAGCATGACAACAGAAAATCCATGTCCTTGCCAGAAGCATGGTGTAAGAGGGGAGGTTGAGGATACTTCTTTCTCTCAGTACCCCCCTCCTAATTAGGCCATAGCCCAACAGTCACCTTGCTTGCTCATGAAGGGACTGTAAACTCCCTTCAGCCAAGGTGAAAATGGATCCTGCTTTTGAAAATTAAGTACTTTAATGATTGATTTAATGTTAATAAAACTGCTGTTTCTTTAAAAAAAGTTCTTTTTGAAGATACTAGAGGCATTTCTGTATTTGTGGTAGCTTTCAAGAGCACAAGAGAAATACTGTTATTAAAAGTCCTTGTCAAGCCCCATCAGTCTGGTGCTGCACAGGACATGTAAACAAGAACTGAAAAGCTTTCACTCTAATAGATAGTTTGGTACAGAAGCAGGGAAACACAGGAAGGATTTTGATGGTTTTGGAAGAAGGAGGGAGTTATCAGCAATTCTCTACAACAAAAATCTCTGCTGGTGATGCCAGAAACCTCACATTTTAGAAGATTAGCAAGAGAAAGGTTTCACATCCTAATTAATGTACTGTCAGCTTCACACAGCTTGTGCCCATGTATGATCAACAGAGACTTTGGATAGGTACTGTTTTTACATCAGCACTACCTGGTAGAAGAAAACTAATTACCGATTCTTCCCATCCAATTTAGATTTTAAAAAAACAATATCCCTTGTAATTTATTATGTAACAAGTGTCAAAAGCACCTTTATGTTGTGAAATAGCACA